AAAATAGACATCTTCAAGCTGGAGACAATTATAAGTAATTCATCAACTAATTTCACAAAATATGAAATGGACACAGTTACTGAATCACTTAAGTTGTTTCTCCCTAGTGTTGTGAAAGTCTTCAGTTTCGATGAAAGGGATGTCTTATCCAAATCATCACTGTAGAACTTAAAAACACAAAATCCATATCTTCTTTGTATGTCTTGTCGCCATATACAGACGAAAGTCCTCTAGATTGCGATACACTTGATTGCCTGGCTGATCAAAACGACCCTGGACACAATTCACCACAAGATCTACAAGTAAAGTTTCAATTAAGGAGGCTGGGTGGTCAACAAATTAACCATCAGATATAACTTAATTTTTTTAGGTATGATATCTTAAGCTGTCATCTTTCATTTGGCAAAGAAAAATTTCATACATTTTAGTTTTAAAATTCGATCATTTTTGGTATATCTTTATATGGAGCTCTTCTTCTAAAGGAGATCAATATAGTCTGAAAATGGCCACAACCCCCCAGCCTTCTTAAAGTACTACTGACTATAGGAGACTTTTTTTTCCCTCATTGACCAGATCATCAAGTTTTTTTTTTGTTGAGTGATACCCAGAACGTATTGGAAGACTCTTCCTAACGCATTTCACAGAGTGATGACAAGGAAAGTTCTGTTATGTGTTGCACCTAAGCACCTGACAGATCTTTCTTCGGCAGCTAGCGTCAGTGTGACGGAGAATCTCGTATCCAAGGGAAACACCAAAGAGGATGTCAAAACCTTGCATCTAAGTTTCACACCGATAAAGGGTTTCAAGATTCTTTGTGCACTCATAGCAATTCTCCAACAAAGATAGAAGGACAGAATATTATTCCAGAACACTACTCAAACAGGTAGCTCTAAAAGTAAATCAGGTGTGGTAAAACACACGGAATCTCTGTGTATCAGGTGCCATCTCCCGCTTCATGATCTGTTCAAGTATGGTGTCCCACCTAGGCGAATACATTAAGAGTTTGAACATTTCAAACCCAGTATCTAAGGAATCACATATCACCTTTGACCATTTCATAATATTGCAAAATGCTAGGTTTAGTGCATGTCTATAACAGTGTATGTAGATAGCCCTTGCCTCTTTTCTGGTGATCTGTTAGCAGCCACATCCATTTTTGGCCCCGGACATATTGCTGGCTCCATCGTAGCACTGTACTTACTCAAGGAAATGTTCCGCACTTATGTATGCAGAATTACGTAAGTCAGTATTGCAGCGCTGATAGAAGTGACCATACCAGTCCGATGAACTCTTCGTGCACATTTAAGTCACCATCAACATGGGCATCGCAATCACCACTTGTTTACAAACAAACTGGTCTCTGTTGTCTCATCTACTATTATGGAGAAGCTACGTCATTCAGGATCTTGTTGGCCATCACTTTTATCTCATTCTGGATATCTGCTGATGTTAATTGCAAAGAAGCATACTTAATACCCTGTTTATTGTTTAATAATGCCAGATACATAGACATACATGTACATCCGTACATCCCATTTTGTGTCTGTGTAAACTTTGCTGCTCCATATTGATCACAGATCGCCGTTATACTCACTCCAATGAGCAGATATCGCCGTTACAAATGTTCTGATTTTGTTTTATTGTTTGGAAGGGGTAGGCAAAATTATTAGAGCGGCGATAGCAGCCTTTGCCGTCCCTTTGTCGACGCCCTCTGTCACAGAAGTAGAGAAACCAGGGACTTTATTCACAAAGCATCCGTAAAATAACGCATCCGTTAACGTCACCGCTAATTTTTCCGTAAATTCCCGTTATTTAACTCACCAGCACTTTCAAAGTTAAAGGATAACGTCTCAGAACGTCTTAAGGTATTTCCACCCTCACAATTTTATGGGTTCAAAGTAGAAAAACTGCATTTATTTTTACTGAATATGGTTTAAATTATTTAATAATTGCAAAAAATATATAGGTTGCCATATTTTTTTTAGTTGTAAGACATAAATAAACAAAAGTATTTGTCAGCATAAAAAATGTACATTTATAGTAAACAATATCATTAAAATATATATAATCTGATTCAGATACCGGTACATAATTCTGATGCTGAAGGTTTCGAAATAATTGTTACATTATAAATATATTTGAAATGTGAATATCAGGGAAACCATTTTACATTAGAAGCACAATAAAGAAAATGCCTGAATGAAGGTGTTATTGCCCTTGGCAACATTTTTTAAAGATTGAATAATTGATTAAATAAAGAAAATATTCAATTTTTAAAATTCTTTAACTAAACAACATTTTTTATTTGACCAATTAAAAAACATTCTTCCAAAGGATATAATTCTATTAGATATGAATTTAAATTCATAACGGTTTTTGCAAAAACCTATGACATCACAGGAGGATGGAAATGCCTTAAGATTGCAAGAAGAGCAGAGAGGAGCAGGCGTAGGGGAATGCATCTAGAAAAGAAAAAGAGAAAGATTAACATCAGCCCGTGCCACTTTACATCAAGGTTGTTAACGGAAAAAAGTGTTTGGATTATCAAGATCTACAAAGGAGGGTGTGGAAAAGTATTTGAAAGAGATTCACAGTGATCCCTATGGAGAAGAACGGCAGGAGTGTTTTTAGCACTAGTGACAAACCAGAAGAATCAAATCAACTTTCCTATGAATCATCGCCAAAGCTTAAGGATTTGGTAGAAAGTCAAAGCAGCGTCAGCCCTAGGGCCAAATGTAGTACCATTTAAACTTTGCAAGAACTGTCAAAAGACAAGACATCTGATATGAGTTGTATGAAGAGAGCATAGAGCTGGTACAAAGCAGGCTGTTTTATTACCAAAGAAGAGGAACCTGAAGTATGAAAACAGTTACGGGCAATATCACTTCTGAACTTAAAAGGAATAGCTTGCAATTTAAGCCGTAAAAATGTCCAATTTACATGTACATGCTTGAGAACCTGTACATGGACATCGACGTGCAGAAAGGAGGAGTAGGCAGATTATCATTATGCGAGTGTACCGACACATATAATCCGGGACACACAGAGTTCACAGAGGAACTGGCAATCATCTGGTTAGATTTTGCAAATGTATATAGAGCAGTACCCCACAACATTTTAAACTGATACTTGAAAGATACAATATATAACGGAGAACACATGGGCAATTTTGAAAGACCATCTCCAGCTGAGATTTACAATATAGGATTTCACAACCGTATACACACGGCAACGCTTAGCCAACAAAATTTTACCAAAATCAATAGCATCAAATCGTATGACTTTTCAATACTTAAAACAACCATTCCCCATGGTCACGATACATAAAATATCAGAATTTTTGACATCATAGACAGCTGCTTCTCAATTAAGAATGGAACTCGTAAATTTACATACCTTGTCAATGGCCATCTGCAAACTTATTTTGTTGAAAAAAATCTGATTTACACACAAATACTCCGATATTGATATTTAAAAGATACATGAGTTTCTCATAGACAATATTTATGTAGTTTTCGGAGACCAGGTCTTCCAACAATCCGTTGGAATTTCCATTGGTACTAATTGTGCCCCATTATTAGCAGACATGTTTTTGTACTAATATCAAGCAAAAAATTTATTCAAAAACATAAGAATCTACATGAAAAGAAGTCTCTTGCTGTGGCCTTTAATTTAAAGTTTAGATATACTAACTACGTTTTCTTTATTAACCATTTTCATTCCTATGTTGATTCGATGAAAAAGATGAAGATTGAGAACAATGACCGATCTCTCAAAATATATTTGACTGAACTCTAAATAAAAGACACCAGAGTCTGACACATCTGTGTCATATTTGGATGTTTTACTAGAGAAAGACATTGATGGCAAACTGATAACTAAACTTTATGATAAACAAGTTGACTAAAACTTTTCTATTGTCAACTTCCATTTTCTATGTCGCAATATATACCATTATCACCTGTATATGGAGTTTGTATGCCTCCCATTTGTTCGATACGCAAGAGCATATTCTACATACGAACGATTAATTGAATGTTGACTGACTTCTTTCAAACAAATTGTAGGGGATACTTACTCCTCCATGACAGCTGCTTCCACAGTGTTGACTCTGCTCATAATTTTATTAATGGACTTTTGAGAATGATTACTGTTCCTTATTTTCAAACGTTACGGTAGCCTTGTGGTAGGGTGTTCGCTTCGTGATCTTGAGGCCAGGGTTCGATTTTCGTTCGCGTCAAACCTGAGACGTAAACATAGGTTGTCTGTTCCTGTGCCAAGCGCCCGGTGCGGCACTAGAAGTGAAAGTCACGAGTCTTTCGGATGAAACCTTAAAAATCTAGGTCTCGTGTCAGGTAGGCGTTGGAAAAAAAAGAATCCTCACAACTCAATGGCCCATAGTGCCGAGTATACATGTATGTCTAAATTTAAAGCCTATCACCGGTCTATGGTGAAGTCTCTATATGAGCGAAAAATTCTCGAATGGGACAACATACAATCAATCTTCACATTGCATTTTATTTGGTAAAGTCACACGATGCGTAACATTAGAAACCCTGTTCTCAGAGCTCTGCGATAAATATGATGGTTGTTTGTATTTTTATCTTTATGTCCCTTTGAGAATTTTTCACTCATCTGGGTGGACGCAAACAGTTGCCGGTGGAGGGATGCAAATTTAGACCTTTACTCGGCACTCAATGTCACATTGTTCTTATTCGGAAAAAAGACCCCTTTTTGCTCAATGGCCATAAGTGCCGAGCGCAGGTCTAAATTTGCAGCCTTCCATCGTCAACAGGTGAGGTCCCAAAGAGTGAACAATTCTCGAAGGGTCGTCAAACAAAGCACAAAAGTACCAACATTAATGGTTATGTTTTAATTCTGATAACATTCCTTAGATATAAATGCAAATAAAATACTTTCATTTATGGACTTCTTATCACGTCTTAGCCTACAAAACTCACAAAATACATGCTAAAAAAGAACAACAGCAAAACACAGAATAGTGATGTTATCTTTTATTTTTAAAATGACCGTTTTCTTTTGTTCCAAAGTATGCCAACCATTGCTGTTGGTTTAGAGGAAGTAATTCTAGGTCAGAGACATCCTTTTCTAGGCGGTAACGATCCAGGGGTAATGTCGTCTGGATTTTCATGGGAGTTCTGCTTTCTGGATTCTTTATAATGGGGTGTAAGTTTACTTTATGTATAGTGGTCTGATAAATCATGGAGTCGTAGCTGTAGTGTTGGTCCACTCTTTGTCCGGAATGACTAACTAGGATCACAAGGTCAAGGGTACCGTCCCCATCAACATCACCCACAGCAGCTACAAAACAGAAAAACAGACTATTATCAGTATAGTTCATAATCAGCATCACAACAATACAATTCTGTCTTATACTTTACAAAATATACATGGAAATATCTATGTATTTTTAAAATTGATCATACGAGGGTTGTCCCAGAAATACGCGAACATTTTCAATATCTTTTGTTTCACTAATACTATAAAGTTAAAAATTGGCATACATCATAATCAACATTTTTTGAATAATGCACAAAAATTTCAATGAAATATGTCCATAAATAACATTTTTCTTTCAGGTAAACGAATCTTACAAATCAGTTGGCGGCGCAACACTGACGACGTCAAAACGTTGCTCAGCGTTTGTGAATTTGTTCTGGAAATGTGCTTCTGATAAAATTCGTTTAAGTATAAATTCGGCACTCTATTTAATTATTCTTTTATTTACCACGTTATACATCTCAAATACTAGTGTTACCAGAAGATAGAGGAATTAATTCTTTTAATAGACAATTCCTCAATCCCGACAATAAACCTAACAGTTCGCATTGTTTAACGGCGGCCTTCACTTAGGCCTATGACGTCCAGCTTCTGACTTTCAGTTTGTCTTCATTTTTGTTGGTCTACAAAACGCCTCTTTTATCGGATAACCAGTCAAGCCATCCTCAAACCTCTTCGACTGGGGATAACCCTATGTCCGAAATTTATGATTCTGATTTTCCTTCGTTAGTATTTCTTTTATCGTATGAATAGGAGTCATATTCCGCTTAACACAGTACTGCTTAATAATTTCGTGCTCCACATCATCGCCAAACGTCACCATTTTTGACAATATCTAATTAAAAAAGTGTTTTGGCATCTAACGTCATATATTTGTCATTAATGATGTCAAATTTTTGAATTTTTATAAATGAGTACACCATATCAAAGAGTATTTATAGAGGTAAATTTTGTGACATTATATTTTCGTATAGCCTGGTAATAAAGAAAAACTTCATTGACAATGCTACTTTTAAAGATCAAAAAATTGCCGTGCGCCGACCACCGATATTTAACACCCTTTAAATCCGTTTTTTTTTTATACTTATGACATCACAAGCCTAAAATATTTTGTCAAAATACCGAAAATATCATTTTCCAACAACCTGCAAAAAAATTATTAGTTTTGGTCGAATAGTTTCTGAAATATTAAAAAAATTCGCGTTTTTCTGGGACAACCCTCGTATATGCTAGTCCAATACCTCGAAAAATTCAGTTTGATTACTTTAATTCTTTATCAATCATTTTTAGTTTTTACTTATTCACAAATTATGATATTCCATAACTATAAATGGAAACCACGTGACTTACGCGTGGTTCTATCCTCTGGAAATAATACGGAGCAGTAATTAAGGCTGTTATTCTTTGCCCCCGATTTCCAACTCACTGAGGGATCTACAATAGATCAAGGATATTAATATTACACATGTATTCCACATAAAGTTAGGCAAATTAAACTTATAGGAAGTAATATTTCATCGGTAACTTACGGTAGTGGAATTCCTCAGGTAACGATTCCATTACTTTAATAGGTGTGTCTGCTATAGTTCTATCCATTACAAAAACCTCAGATTTAATGTCTACCCCGGTATTACACCGGAAATGGAACTTCACAAAATCTTTGTATATTAGGTCATCTGAAATTACCATAATTAAAAAAAGTATATTATATTGCAAGCAATGTTGTGAAAAACAACCCACCCAAGTATTTTCAATTTTCCTGATATTTTAATAGCGATTCTCTGTAACCACTTAAACTTCTTTGCCACGCATGGTCGCCGATTTTGATGAAACTTTGCCCATTATTACAACTTGACACCAGAAACATATATCAAATAAAATTGCGTTGCTATGTGTCTTGGTTGCCATGAAAAGTTGCTAGAAAAGTTGAAAAAATTGAGACTTTCAGCTACTTTGAATCTTTATTAAGCCTTAATAAAGACTAAGAAAAACAAACAAACCATTCTCCCAAAAACATGACACCTTGTTGCCACTTATGCTATAAAGAAAATATCTAGAATTTATCTCTAAGTAAGTGGTAACCATGGGTACATTTGGAATACATTTTAGATGCTGAAAAATGCTGAAAATAGCTCAATATTCACAAATGATAAATGTTACATGATCAAACTCAATCAACAACCTAAGAAAAACAATAAAAAATATTTGACCTTATGTAATTAGGTATTGGCAATATTATTCTAAAAATAACTTTCATGGTTGCCGTGGTAATACAGTGTCACCATGCAAAATCTGTTGCTATGACTGGGTTAATGCTACTGTCTTGAGGAAAAACAATAAAATTTATGACTGGCACATATAGATCCTTAGGACCTTGCAACACCGACAACATAAGAAAAATTGGGATTAATTGTTACTTTGCAGTGTAACCATGGAAACAACGTACTAGTTGTTTAAAGTGTTTTTTTTTTTTTTTTTTTTTTTTTTTTGCTGCTTTAGGAATTTACTAACCTTTTAATCAAGAAACATATTATTTGACTCACCTTGAATAGTACTTATCTGGTAGAACTAAAGTTGAATATCATATATTGATAAAGTTTGTTGAAAAATACAACACTGCTGCTATGGTTACCAAGAAGAGAAAATGTTCGATTTTGTTAATTTTATGTCAATATTAGACCCTATGTGCCAGCTTTTTGCATCCAGTTAGAGACTGGGTGGTAGTCAAAATTGAAAGTCAGGTTAGTTGTTCATGTATATCAATCATTAAAGTTTTGGGAATCTACATATAAGGGTACGTATCCAAGGAAACAGAATATTTTTCAGATTTTTATGCATATTTTTTCGCCTTATTTCCATAGCAACGCACTATTTAAAGAATTGAAATTGAATTTTTTGAAATGTGAAAATTAGGGTCACACCAACGTTTTTAAAAATTGATCATCAGTTATATAGAAATGTGCTTTTTAAAAAGATAGGATAAGATTTAAACACTGAAAGAGTAAATTTAAAATCCCTTTGTGGTATTAAAATCATGGCAACCATTGCCAACCTATCAGAAATATCATATTTCGTCCTTGGTAAATGTTACAAGGATCTCTTGTCTATCGTTTGCTTGCATTTCAACCTATAATTGTTTTTATTCTTAAGTGTATGATTTTATAAAATTAAATGAACAAAATTATTACTTTTGAATACATTGTTTCCATAGTAACGTATGTTATAGTTGATAAACCAAACATGTTTATCATGCATTTAAGGCACCAGGCCTTCAACTTTCAGAAACAGTCATTGCCACTTGTTTGCTTTGCTGCAAACGTTAACTGTGGGACTCTGAACGTGTTGAAAAATGCCATTTTCAAACTTTAGGACATGTTGCTATGGTAACCATGACACGAAGCAACCAATTTTTGCCAGATTTGAGATTACGATATCAAAGACTTTTATCATAGAGAGTTTGGAGAAATTCTGAGACTATGCGTGCCACAGCTCCTATATAAAAGTTAAAGTCATTACAGAGAATGGCTCTTAAAAATTCAGTGTCCGTAATTCTGTTAATAGTGGGGACTGTCCGTGAGAAATTCAAATTTGTCCTTAAACTTATCGTACTACATAAATTCAGCTCACTACCATTAAATCATAGTGAAAAAAGGCACAAGAAAAGTTTTTAAATTTGTAAATCCCATGGCTGAAGTTCCAGTAAACTTTGACCATTTAGTCACCAAAATACAATAAACTTGTTTAAATTGTTTAAATTTATACGTACCTTTAGGATCGTTCTTTGACTTGCCTTTAGGAATTACTGAAATCTACGAGGAAAAGAAGAGAATCCTTTATCGCAAGAATCATTGATAAAGGAGGCAAATTAATCAGCAGATCAACCTAAAACTAGGAATACGATTTTTCTAGCCAAAACTATTACTTAGTAAAGAAAAGGCTACCCGGTATATGTTTCAGCTATACTAATTTCCCAATATTTTTATACATCCAAGAGCTTTAGATAGTTCAAAAACCCAAAGTAGTAGTTCCGTGTGGCCTCACTATTTTCAAAATAGGTAGAAGAAAGTGCCACTGGTAATCTTTTCCTGCTTCTAAGTTCATGACTTGGTAGGAATTATGAATTGATGGTTTATGTATCGGTTTTGTATACTGTAAACCAACTATTTTTATTCGCGATTCGTCAGTTTGAAATCAATCCGCGACGAATAATTTTTGCAACTGAGGAAACATTCTCTATAAATACGAAGCAAAATGAATGGTTCGCAGCGATTAATATTCGCGAGTTAAAGTTGTTCGCGAAACTCGCGAACATTTCTCGCACGTGAATAAAAGTTGGTTTACAGTATTATAAGGTAACTGTATGTAATTATTTGGCCCACCTTTATGTGTATACAATAATTATATGAATAGGTCACTGTGAACCATTTGAAATATAAATGTAAAGGATGGGGTGCAATATTAGAGTTAGAATATTGGAATAAGTTCCGCATAGTGATACCTGTATGACTGGTCATGTAAAACATGCCTAGCGTGCTCGTGTCTCAGCCTTGTGACCTCAAGACTTTGCGCTTTTCACACGCTTTAGACCTACCCAACCTCCCTGTGACCTCAAGACTTTGCGCTTTTCACACGCTTTAGACCTAACCAACCTCCCTGTGACCTCAAGACTTTACGCTTTTCTAACCAACCTCCCTGTGCATGAACATAGATGTTTAATTTTTCATTGTTATGAATATGAATTACAATGCGTATTAATCGTTGTAAGTGCGATATCAAGTTGATGATGACGGACACATTTTCTTTTTCAAGGCAGAGAGTCTGATTATCACATTTTCTCTGTTTCTATGTATTTTGTATGAATAATCAAGGTAGTAAATAATTTATGTTCGTTTGAGAATGGGACGAATTAGAAATAACATACATTTCTTTGGACGCCGACACCGTGTATCTCGCCTGTCAGGTCTTTGTACACATGCGCACCCCTTCCTTTAGTTTTGTACAGGTAAAGGTCACGGTAAGGTTCTGTCGTTTGCAACGTCAGGTCAGACGACATCTCGTAATTCTTCATTGCAGACCGCCAAATGATGCTTCCGTCTTTACCGTTAATAATTACTTTCTAGAAACGAAGTAGGATAATGTTAATAGTATTGGTACACAAGTAAATACGTGATCCCGGGTAATGTTGAAAGCAATGGTAAAATGTGAACAGGTGCGCCGTAAAATTAGTGTTTCGTTGGACTCTTATGACGTTACCTCTGATGCGTTGTATATTGGCCAGGCACCCGTGCTCCAATGGACCATGAAGTCCAATATATTGTCGTCATCAAAGTAACCAGGGGCAGGCGTACTGAAAAAGCAAAGAAAATATCGAATTAGGTAACATTAAGGTCTGACGACCTATTCGTCGAATCTTTTCGTACACCAAGAATGTTTATAATTCTTATTATATTCCGATTTCTAAACTCTTTCCAAAATGTTTGAACAATATTATATAAAGTTATAAACCAAACATTGTGTTATCGCAATACCATCCTCTAGATCCTCATATTTTTGTAAGGAAAGTTATTATTATAAAGCCCTGTGTAAAACTTTGATTAAACATTCTGGCCCCATCCTACGCCCTGCGGTCATGGTTTAAACAAACTTGAATCTACACCACCTGAGGATGCTTTCATATCAATTTGACGAATCATCGGTTTGCTGTTCTTATCCATTGTGGCCCAACCCTATCCCAAGAGGGGGGGGGGGGCATGATTTGAAAAAAAAAAAACAACTTGTATCTACACTACCTGAGGTTACTTCCATGACTAATCAAGGTTTTACTTTTCTTGAGAAGATTTTTAAAGATTTTTTCCCCTATAAATTCCTATGTAAAACTTTGATCCCCCGTTGTGCTTCGTCCTACCTCTGGGGGAAAAATTGAAAAATCTGTGTCTACACCACTTAGGTAGCTTCCATATCAATAGGGATGCGCGATTTTATCGGTATACCGGTATATCTCGATTTTTCAGTGCGTGATACGTATCGTGATACGGAGACTAAAATACCGGTATTTGGTACATAACTATAAATTTCGGGAACTATTCATTTATTTGTTCAAACCATTGAATGACAATTATAGGAAGTGTGAAAAAGGTTGAAAACAGGAAAACAACGGCATCAAAATATGCTTTATATTAAATAAATGAAAATTTAAAAGGTAAAGTTATGTTTTTATAGCATATTTTTAAGAAATATTATGGAAATTTACTTGAAATTGTAGTAAAAATTGTGTTTAAAAATATCACGATTTATCGTGATATTTTGGGGGAAAAAATCATGATATATCACGATACGAAATTTTTGCCGATACCCATCCCTACATATCAATATGACTAATAATGGTTTTTGCTGTTCTTGAGAAGACAATTTTTAAAGATTTTCCCCATATATTCCTATGTAAAACTTTGACCCCCAATCGTGACCCCTACCAACCCCAGGAGTCATGATTTGAACAAACTTGAATCCACACTACCTAAGGGTGCTTCCATATCAATAGGGCTAATCATGGCTTTACTGTTCTTAAGAAGAAGATTTTTAAAATATTTTCCAATGTATATTCTGATTTAAAACTTTGATCCCCCACTGTGACCCCGTCCTACCCCCCCCCCCCCGGGGTCATGATTTAAACAAACTTGAATCTACACTTTCTAAGGATGCTTCCAAATCAATACAATTAATCATGGCTTTGTTGTTCTTGTTAAAAGGTTTTTGAAGATTTTTTTTTGCATATTCTTATGTATAACTTTGATCCCCCACTGTGGCCTCATCCAACCCCCAGAGGTCATGACTTAAAGAAATTTGAATCTACACTACCTGAGGAACTTCCGAATCATTACAACTAATCATGGCTTTGCTGTTCCTGATAAGAAGGTTTTTGAAGATTTTTTTTTCTTGCAAATCCCTATGTATAACTTTGATCCCCCATTGTGTCCCCACCCTACCTCTGGAGGGTCATGATTTGAACAATCTTGAGTCTACAATACCTGAGGATGTTTCCACATCAATATGACTAATCATGGCTTTGCTGTTCTTGAAAAGAAGATTTTAAAAGTTTTTTCGTATATATTCTTATGAAAACATCCCCTCATTGTGGCCCCACACAACACCCGGATGGACAAGATATGAACAAACTTAAATTTACATTATGTTATGAACGTTTCACGTGTGTTTTTATCTCTTTGGCCCAGTGGTTTTGAGAAGGAGATTTTTAAATGACGCAACCAAATTTTCACCAATTCCTAATCGTCTCCCCTTGAAAAAAGGCGTGGCCCTTCAATTGAAAGAAAAAATTGAATTCCTCTCACTAAAGGATGCTTTGTTGCAAGTTTGGTTAAAATTGGCCCAGTAGTTCTGGAGAAGTCGTCGAAAATGTGAAAAGTTTACAGACGGAAAGACGAGAGACAGACGACAGACAACATGAGATCAAAAAAAGCTCACTTGAGCTTACAGCTCAGGTTAGCTAAAATTTATTGATTTTCTCCTCAAGATTAGTATTGTACAATTATTTTAAAAATCCGACTCATTGCAAATTTATCAATAAAAAGTTCAATATTGCACCACCGTATTTTGCACACAATATCCGCGGGAACAATGACCGCGGCTAAAACAAATATACTAGAACGTTCGGAAGTCTTGATTGATATTTTGTCCATACAAGAAATCATTTTATTTTAATTAACAGTGAATATGCTTTTGAAATAGTTTGGTCTAAGTAAATATCAAATTAATTCAAAGTGAAATCTTTTTAAGTGCTTCATCTTATCATTCCATCGACAGATTACTTTGTCTCACCAGATCATACACTAAAATACCTTGTAACATAAGATATGAAGATCATACAGGTATATGTTATTGGTTCTACTTTGTAACAAATTTTCACTTCTAGCTTACTAGTACTTGAAGTACATTGCATATTATTTCTCGGTGCTATTTTCATTTAATTGTTACTGTAAAGTCAATTTCTAACTTCAATGGATTGATATATGTGTCCATCTGAATTTAGAATTGATTATCTATTCAATTCAATCCATCTTACCCATTTCGGGTAATAAATGGGTTTTTTTTTTCTTAACTATGATACTCTGTCTTGGCATTGTATGCAATCATATCTTGAAGAAACCAGTCCTTTCCATATTTCTTTTGAAATCCCTCACGCCATCTCACCTGTAAGATTCCATTCCAGGAAATTCCACTCTCCACTTGGATTTCATTGTTCTGCCGTCTAGCAGCATCACAATTCCATCGTAAGCCGACATCACAATGTCATCAATACCGTCACGGTCTATATCCGTCATTAGGGGCGGTACCATCACACCCTTCCTCACACCTCTACAGAAAGTACATATTCATTATACATTTGAGAGAATTTCCCGAAAAATTGCCTATAATCGACATATTCTTACAATTCTACACATTTACAAAATACAATTAACCACATACTACTCTTAAAAAGAATTTGGTTTCTAAATTGAAGTTTATATCGAAATATTTATTCCCAAAAATTTGAAAATAAATCATTTTTATTCCCAAAAAAAAACCCCAAACAAACAAACAAACAAAAACAAAAAAGAAAAGAAATGCTTGAGAAATATATATGCCCCCCCCCCCCCCCCTTTGTGGCAATATTTGAAAAAGGGGAACAACTTTAAATTGAGAATGTCTATCATGATAGTGAAAAAGATTGGTCATCTAATTGTTGACCGACCGACCGACCGACCAACCGATCGCCAGGTGCAAAGCAATATGCCTCTTTTTTCAGGGTGGGGTGTTTAAAATAGGCCACCGTAACATAAAGGTCCTGAGTCAGTTAGCTTGTTGGCATATTGCAAATTTTGAATTTACGATGACAGTAAATATAAAATTTACAATTTGTAATGTTGTAATTTTTGTATTTACTGCAATCAGTAAATTCAAAATTTACAATATAACATTGTGACCAGTAACTTATAACAACCACTATTAAAGCCAATTATCTTAAATCGATATTGAAGTCGATATTTGTGATGATCACACACAAATTGCTCAGGGATCTTATCTACCTTAAGTTTTAATGAACCGTTACAATAACCCATGGAATTATGATGGAAATCAAATCATAAAGTGCCGATTGCTCGTAAATCTTTGTACACAGCTGATTTGAGGGGTGCTTATTTTTGTACATATCTGGTTTGTGGGGTGCTGATTTTTTTATACTTACGTGAAAAGAACCATTATGCCTGTTTCGGGCTGCCTTGGTATGTGTTGCCATTGGTCGTACGACCCTCTTGTTTTAGGAACACTAGCGTCTTTTGGTAGTCCCATAACATATCGGTAAAAATCCGGTAAGGAAATGATCATAAAGTCACCTGCCAAAATTTGAATTAAAAAGCAAGGTACTTCGGCATTACTTATTTATAATTGAAAGGATACATTTTTTTTTCGGACATAAAAGATGTAGAAAGCAAATGCGTGTACTTACCGGGTACCGTTTCTCCGCCACTCCCAAACAGTATATACTGTGATCCGTCCCTATAGGTGTACACTACAGGGCTCTGGTAGCTCTCTTTATTGTTTGGCATTTCTAGACAGCGGATCCCCATACCCTTACCCGTCCTCCCGTCCAGCATAATCAATCGACCCGACTTCCGATCATGGTTCTAGAGCAAGAAAAAAAATATTGGAACACTTTCGTATAATGTGAACTTTATTGCTCTAACTACTTTATTTTTTGCCTATAAATACATCAGCAGAAGAAGAAATTAACAAAAACGACATATTGATGTACTGTATACACTACTGGTCTATTTTATTGACTTCGCGAACTTGGTTTTTTTATGACCTATGCTGGTTTGTAATTCTTACTTCAGCATCTATATTAGGGTCCCCGCCATGCATCACCAATATTTCTTTGACGCCGTCTCCATTAAAATCAGGCAGTGCCATTGCTTGATAGAAATTCCAGATCTTCGTAAAAAATGGCGAACTTGCTTCCCAGAGATGCTTTCCTTATGAGAATTTTTCTTATTAATTGTCCAATCAAGTTCAAAAACTATAATAAACAGACTACAAAGTTTTTCATATCTTTTAAGTAATATGCAGCCATGCGTGTTGACCCCCCTTCTGAATACGAAAGAATACATGTACATGTACATGCATTGTTTTGTAAAGGGGGGCACACTTACCATTCCTGACATCAACCGCCTCCATCGTGGCGCTGCGTCCTCCAATGACACAGTCTATGTGTCCATCTAAATTTAGGTCGAAATCTTCACAATTATTTAGTAAAGCCCCGGATCTTGTGGGGATTTTCCAAAGAACTTTTCCATCATATCCCCTCATTCCAAAGAGAGTTCCAATGCATGGATACGTCCTTCCTATATATTACAAGAAAACGGTTTCGGTTTCTAGATATAAATCATAATCATATATTTTTTTTTTAAATGTCTTCGTGATTTTTTGGAGAGACTTAATTAATACTTGTATCAGTCTTTAAGATTGTACTTGTTGAAAATGTGACAAATTTTGTTGTCAGACCAAGTAGACAGAAGCTTATGTTTTTCATTTTACCGGCCTTTGCAAATTTTGGTGAAATAAGTCGCATATAAAAAGAATATGATGTACAAATACCTTTCACTGAGAGATCATAGTGTAGGGCTAAATAATAAAAAAAATGTGGACAACTACACTGAGTTACTAATTTCCGCTCCTCATCCAGGAGCGATGATTCTTAAAATTGTTAATTAATTACTAAATAAAAAGTCTCAAAAAGAAGCTTAAAATTGAAATTTTTCCCTGCAACAATTTCCATTTTAAGCATCTCAATTTGATTCGAGGTTTTTGAAGTCTTATACGGTCTCGTAAAAAGTTAACATTTTTACCCCATAAAAGTAGAAAAATAAATAAGAGATGGGTACCCAAGAGTGCTACAGACGTACACCCCTACTATACACCCCGATTTTCAAGCAGGGGGGGGGGGGGTAAAAATAATTATAGATATTTTCGGTATATGTATATTATTAAAAGATATGAAAGCAGATATACAAAGAATGTGTTCTCAGACCTTAACCCAGATAATTCTTGTTCAAAATTCACTATCGGAAGAGGGGGAAATCAGTGTTTCGTTTAATTTTTCGAAGGGGTTTTCAATGTGCAAATAATAATGACACGTTTATTTAAATTTTGCATATAGCTATTATATCTGTAAACTACTTTTCTGTAAAGTACTTTTCTGAGCTCTTCCTTTGTTTATAAACGTTCCTCTCCATCCTAAGACGGTTATACTTTTTTCCGAATTACCAAAATACAGAGGAGGCCCATGGGGCACTTCATCGCTCACCTTAGAACTTTGGTTAGAGAAAAGCAGAAATCAGTTCAGTATTGAGAGGTTTTAATATAAAAGTGGTCCCTTACGCACCCCCCCCCCCTTATCAGGAAGGAGCATGGGAGGAGGCATGATTTGAATCTACACTAACTGAAGATGTTTCCAAATTTATATTAATAGCTAATAATGGCCTTGAAAGACTTTAACAGATTTTTTCCGATATATTCTATGCATAAGTTTGATCTTTTAATTATGTTCCCACCCTACCCCCAATGTCATAATTTGAACAAACCTGAATCTATACTATACCTGAGAAAACTTCCATATTAATATGAATAACCATGGCCTTGCAGTTCTTAAGAAGTTTTTCTCATATACTCCTATGTAAAACTTTAATCCCCTGTTGTGGCAACATCCTACCCCAGGGGATCATGTTTCGCATAATAATATCTTTATTCATGACCTCGCTGTTTTTGAGATTTTTAAAGATATTTCTTATACATATATTCTTATGTATAACTTTGATTCACTGTTGTGACCCCATTAACCCCCCAGGCTCATGTTTTGAACAAACTTGAATCTACCCGAGGATACTTGCATATCAATATGGCTAATCATTTCCTTGAGAAAAAGATTTTTAAAGATTTTTCTTATATATTCCTATGTCTTACTTTGATTCCCTGTTCGGGCCCATCCCACCCCCGGTGGTCATGATTTGAAATAATTTGAATGTACAGTATGTAATGAAGCTTTCACATAAGTTTCATGGCCCAGTGATTCTTGAGAAGAAGATTTTTAAAAGATGCAATTCAATTTTCACAAATTCTAAATGATCTTCCCTTGAAAGAGGACGTTGCCCTTAAAGTGAACAAAATAGTCTTGAATCCCCTTCACCAAAAATGCTTTTTGGCAAGTTTGGTTAAGACTGGCCCAGTGGTTGTGGATATGAAGTCTAAAATGTGAAAAGATTACATACACACAACAGACAGACGGATTCCGGGCACTGTTCGATCAGAAAAGCTCTCTAAGTGAGCTAAAAAGTTATATTAAAGGATATAACCTCCATATTTTCTTGGAAAATAAATAAGACTACGTTTGGGCAAGACTATCTTTCCTCAATTTGTTCGAACAGGATATGAATCCATTACGATAAAACTTTCCTCATTTTCATTACATGTACACAATTAAGAATCTAAGAGAATCTTTTTAAATGATAACACCCACAACCATGTCTTGAATAGGGTATTTTCATTTACAAATGAGTACCATATGTTTCGTGAAATTTTAGTTATCTATAAAGCTCTAACCTGATGCTTTACAGAAGGCCCTCAAACTTCCGTTTGAGTCTATATTAGATATGGCGGCGAGATCTGCAGTGGTCGCGGCACCAAAAACTATGTCCTGTAATCCATCTCCGTCGATATCGATTAGCCTCATCACACTCTCTGTACCTAGGAAAATCAACACAACATAATACTTTGGTGACATCGATGGTGAGATTATGTTACGTTTTCTGCTAGGAGATCTAATAAGTGTGCGGCGGTGTTTGTTAGATGTACACTGTACATGTAGATTATGTAATTTTTCCCATCTGTAATGATAGCAATTCCTGGCTCGCTCCCTGTGCGACACATTAGATGACTTTAGGGTCATGGGTTTGAATCTTAGCGAAGGAAAAATCTTCTTAAGGAAAAAAAGATATTTCAGAAACATAGCTTTAAAATCCTCTTATTTTTGCTTTACTGCCGGGGGATGGGATTATTCTTGCTTCATGTCGGCTAAATGCGTAATAATAGGTAATTCCCTCTATAATTTTTTTATTTAATTATTGGAACATCAAAAATGATATCCCATATTACAGTTAAACAAAAAATTTACTTATGTTGTTTGAGACTAAACAATCAACCTTCTCTTTAAATTATTTTACAAGTCCTCGTGAAGTTGGAAAATTTGGAATATCCATCCATTTCATTCACAACACATAGATACTGAAACACTACCTCGGTAAACTTTTTTTTTAACTTAGCCTGAAATCATTCCATGTTTCTAGGGAATACATCTATACATACAAGGTCATTGCTTTCTTGTACGGATGAAAGATCTTTGATATGATTGTACATAATGGTCTTCTATACCACGTGTTGTCTCCTGCTTTCGAGAAGCGAGGGGGCATTTAATCTCATTCATCTGTCAGTCTGTCTGTCACAAAAACTTTAACTTGGTCATAACTTTTGACTGAGAAAAAATACGGCTTTCGTCTTTCACATATACATTACCTGTGACAAGACCTTTCCAAATATACTAATAACTATGACTTTTGACCCCATGACCTTAACCTTGAAATATTTGTTCTACATTTCAAACATTTTAATATTACTTTCACCTTGGTCATAGCTTTTGAATGAGAAGAGATCGGGCTTAATATTTTACATGTACATCACCTGTGACAAGATCTTTCCAAATGTTCTTTGATTTTTAACCCCTGATCTTGACCTTGAAGTTTGACCTAATTTAAAAAAAAATTAATATTGCTGATAACTTTGAATGAGAGAAGAAAGGGTATTTATATTTGACATGTGCACTACCTGTTTCAAGACCTCGTGAGCTAGACCTTAAAGTTTAACCTACGGTCTTTTTCGATTTTTTTTTTACATTGGTAATAACTTTAGAATGAGAGAAGATAGAGCTTTCATACATTACCTTAGACAACACCTTTCAGAAAGGTAAATCATTTTTGACTCATGACCTTGACATAGACGTTTGATCTAATTATCAAAAATTTTAAGTTTGGCCATAACTTTTGCCCCAGAAGAGGGCTTTCGTATTTTTTTTACTTGTGCATTAATTGGGACAAGACCTTTCAGATTGTATTATGATATTTGACCTCATAACCTTTACCTTGAAGTTTGATGCATTTTTGAAAAGATTTAATCTTTTCCATAACTTTTATTTATTCAATAATTTGTCTTTTTTGTATGATGGACAGACAAGACAGGACATACAAACAAGACAGTTACAATATGCCATAAATAACTGCATCCAAACCAGTAAGACATCGAGAGCGGGGGACCACAATTCTTTGAATTTGCTTGTTTATATCTTATTTTCAAGTTCATGAAAAAACATCTCTCAAACTTTCAATAATTTTCGAAGTAATTAAAATAGAACACAATATACTATTAATATTGAAAATATTGTAATAAAGACAATATCTATATAGCGTACATTAACGGACTTACATACCAAATTCTTTAAAGGTAACCTTCCAGTTTTGAGTCTGGGGTTTCAGATTTTCCTCAGCCCGTTTAGTTGTGGTGATTTCTTCCACTGGAGCGGACATATCCAGCTTGGCTCCATGTGCAGTTGGCGTGATGGTCGTACTACTGGTGGTGTTAGACCGCTTCACTAATACGTAACACATAGCAGTAATAACCGACAGAAGTACTATAATTATAATGATACCCACAACCATAAGTGGCTTTTGGCGGGATCGTTGGCGGTATCTTTTGTTGAGTGCTATATAAGAGACCGGTCCAGTGTCTTCTTCAGAATCGGAATGAGTGGCAGAAACCAGGGGGACCCGGTCGTAGCCATTCTTAGAGGCTGAAAAATCAAGTCTTCATAGTGAAAAATATTGTTATCACCAATAACAACTGCTTAATAAAGACGGCATTAATCAATATGACAATTTCTTCAAATTAGTTAGTAAAAGTGAAAGATACCCATTATAGAAATGTTGGACAGAATACAAGACTCAACTTACCTGATTTGGACATGCTTTCAGTCCTGAAACCTGCACGATGTTAATTTCACGTACACCATATCATATCCATCACCTTATATGACAAATGAACAATATTCAGTATGGTTTACCGAATCATTTAGCATTTGATCACTTATAAAATTATAGAGTATCCTGAAAATACGTTGAAATGCGATGTTTTATGCAATCTGTCGCGAAAATAAATTACCTCAAGTACTACAACAGGTTGTGTTAACTTAATATTGAGATAAAACGTCCAATAAATGCTGTGATTTCAAAACCCATGTAGTACAATGCAGGATATTTAAACCGTCTGAATTAAACTAAGTAAACACTCACCTCTTTGAATTCAAACATTTAAAACTCCGTCTTAAATGTTTTCATACTTCCTTGTTATGAAGATCCAGTTAGAACTTTCATTTTCTAAACTTTGTCTCTGGTTCTTAATACTTCCAAGTAACTTTCTTGAATTTGGTATAAATACAGTCCGTGTAGGTGTTCCAAGATCAGCGGACTCGATATTGGGTAATCGGTACGTGTCTGTGCAGACACGAACATTTAAAACTGTCTTTCCCAGGTCTATTACTAATCAAGAGACCGTGGCAGGGGAGATTTTTTTTTTATGGTTTATTGGATTCTGGCACATCTAAAATGTCTCGGTCTATCAAGGCGTTTAATTGTGTTTACTTAACGTTTTCGTGTGTACGTGGATTTAATACTTAATCTTGATAATAATATATGTAGGTTTGAAAATTGAATATTTCAAATTAAGTTTTCCAGGTCTAAAATATAGTGTCAAATTGAATGTAATATAATTTTTGAAATCTGAATATATTACATTAGTACATTACTAAAAGTAGTTTTTATTATAATACCCGGTAATATGAAATATTACAACTTTCCAGTTCAGAAAATCGCTCATAGGGATGGACGAGCTATCAGATCGGAATTTGACACAAAGTTTCCATTTAGTAACAGTAATTAACGCGGGTTATCAACACAGTCAAACCCGAGGTTAGCGGGGCAGAATTGCATTGATTTTCATTCAGTTTTATTACTCATTTTCATAACGAAAAGATAAGACAAAATTGTTAATTTAAAGAGGATTAAGCCATAATGTCACAATGAAAATAATTAAAAGCTCCTTGTTTGAACATGACAAACGCAAATCAAGATATTTCCACCGAGTCGATAACATCCTTAGGGTAGGTATTGATTTTTCAATTGATCTTTTGTCACCAAGTCCTCCTTTCATATTGTCCTAAATTCCACATGCACTTCAATGCAGTCATTTTTTTATTGTTGCTCAATCAAACACTAAAGAGGAGTAACGACACATCAGAAAATTTTAATCCATGATAGTCCAGCAAATATTTCTTGCACTGACGGTAGCTTTGTATTGTCACCTAGTCAGTCACCCACTTCGTATATTTACTATCTTTATATTTCATTTCTTACTCGGACATTGAATTATCAAAAGATAAATTGTATTGGTCTAAGAACATCGATTATCCCTTTTGGCATATCACCATTATATACCCACCAAATAATGATCATGAGTGAGCATTGTGGACCTTTTGGTTGGAAGTATAGAACAATACAGGTGTAATTTTAAGAACACCTGTAAAAATGACAGTCCTCCATCCATCTGTTGACTCGCGACAGATAATCCTTTTATCAGAGATAAGAAACTTTACGATGTTAAAAGAAAAATTGGGATACACTATATAGAAATATACATGTACATGTATTGCTCCAATAAACCTTCTTTAAAATAACTGTAAAGACCATACTCTTATAATTCAAATATAGATGCATGTACAGAATGCAACACTTTACAACGGCTGAATGTTAATCATTATTAAAATATTCTGTCGTCCGTAGCATTTCCTCTGCCTTTTTATTTTCAATTTGTAAACGTGAAAAGATAATCGGAATTTAGTGATACATTTTTACATCTCATTCATCTTGAAGAAAAAAATAAGGCTGATTCCAACTTTTAATTTTCATGTTAAAGCACCAAACATTATATGCCTGTTCTGTTGATTTAAAATTGATCCATTGAGGATTTAAAAGATGATGAAAAGTTAAAGGTTATTTTGTTCCAGGATCTCATATCAATCGAAATAAGTATAGATTAAGGTATATCCCCCCCCCCCCAAAATTAAATAAGAAAAACTTATTTAGAGTTATCTTTCCTTTAACAATGTGAACTTTTTTGACAGGAATGATATGAGTTTTTGTGGTTGACCTCGTCCAATCACATTTAATTCCACGTATGAAATTCCTTATGTATTGTTTTGTGGTAATCATTTTATAATTAATAAGAGGCCCAAGGGCCTTTCCTGTCACCTGAATAAATACAACATTGTTAAGGATTCATAGAAGCATAAAATACAACAAAATAAGCTGATATATATATAAAGCTGTGTCGCCCAAAAGCAAGAGAAATAGGATGATCAGGGATCAACCAAATAATTGGTCTAATACTCAGTAAAAATCTTATAGTAGATCTATTTACTTTCCTGTACTTGCATGCCCCCATTTGTCACTATCACTATTCTGACTAAACAATAGTGTTTGACCACTATCAGAAAACTAATTTCATTCCCTCTCACATTGGCATTTCTTATTCTTTGAAGAAAGATAAGGAATTTTTGTCTCTTTATTTATCTATTATTTACAACTCTACCCGACCATTAAAAACTATGAAAGTACTTTTTTATGATATAAAATTCTCTTAATATTCAATTAGCCTTTCAATTACATTATTTACAGGGATTAATTAGGCGAGTAGCAAAGGGAATACTAGTAACTCCTCTCAGTAGACAACAAATTAATAGAGGCCTGTCCAGCACCAGAACACTTGATCAAGGTGTTCAGAATTTCAAAAAATCTGGTAAAAGTACCCTTGCTTTGCCAAGGAGGAGAGAGAGATTTTCAAAGAATAATGCATTTTCGTTATGGATTCAACACAGCCCGCCTTAAACCAGAACCTTACCAGGGGCCACGAAATTCACAATTTTGGAAGAGGCACAGAGAAGGAGAATTATAAAGATTTAATGTATTTTTACTATATAATCATGAGCCCCGCCTTAGCAACAGAGGCCCTAGACCCAGGGGCCGAGAAATTAACAATTTGGGAAGAGGGACCATTGCTTATTATAACCACGCACTAAGTATGTTTGCTAAATATCAAGGGGCAGAGAAGAAGATTTTCAAAGAAATAATGCTTTTTCACAATATATATTCAATAGAGCGTGGCCTAAGACTAAAAACCCTGACCCAGGGGCTATGAATTTCATAATTTTTGAAGAAGCATGTCTGCTCATTATAAATATGAACTTATTTTGTCCATTTAATATCCAGAAGCAGAGAAAAATATATTTAAATGAATAATGAATTTTCACTACATAATCAATAGACTCCCTCCCAAACACCAGAACCCCTGACCCTTGGGCCACAATTTTCCAATTTTTGAAGAAACACCATTGCTCACCATAAATATGCACTTAGTTTATCCGCTAAATATGCAGGGACAGAGAAGATTTTCAAATATATGATTAATGCATTTTCACTATATAATCAATAGAGCCCCGTCCTAACACCAGAACCACTGAGCAAAGGGTCATGAAAACACTTTTCGGAAAGACACCCTTGCTCATCATAACTATGCACTTAGTTTGTTTGCTTAATATGCAGGAGCAGAGAGGAAGATTTTCAAAGAAATAATGCATTTTCAAAATATAATCAATAGAGCCCCCCTCCCTGGACCACTCACCAGAACCCCTGACCCCGAAACCACAAATTTCACAATTTTGGAAGAGGCACCCCTGCTTATCATAAACATGCATCTACATGTACAGGGGGAGAGAATAAGATTTTTAAACAATTTATACATTTTCACCATATGTTATGGTAATTAGAGCCCCGCCCTTACTCCAGAACTCCTGACCCTGAATTTCATGATTTTGGTGGAGGGCTCAATGCTTGTTACAATCATGCAAACAGTTTGACTGCTTGATGTCCAGGAGTGATGAAAAAGATTTTTAAAGATAGCACTTATTTTGGTGGTTTTGGCCCCACCCCTCAGGCCCCAGGGGATAGGGGCCATGAAATTCATAATTTTTGTACCCCTTATTATTTTATTTTTTATTTGCAATGTATAAATTTATGACCTTGACCTTTGACCTCAAAATCGATAGGGGTCTTCTTTAGACCTTAGAAAATTGTGATATAAAATTTCACTGCAAAAGCTCAAAGGTGTTTTGAGATATCGCCCGGAAACGAAAGTTTTATACACAGAGAGACAGAAAGACGGACGAACAGAACCAAATTAATATCCCCCAATTTCAGTGAAAGCGGGAGACAAAAATATTTATCTTGTATGGTTGTGAATGGACTTGTCTGAATAGCACAGAAAAGACGCATATAATTGTTATACGTTAAGTCTCTTCACTTACTGCACATTTTGTCATACCTACGTGTTGAAAAGACAAGAAAAACATCATGCAGTTTTGTGTTTTTCACACAAAAACCCTAATAAAACTATGACTTCACTTGTTCTACGATTATAAAGCTAACAGCTACACCTAGTTATAATGATTGGATTTTTGCAAATACACCCGTACGAAATCAATTTGTTCGGAACTTTTTATTTTTTTGTCCCCCGCTTTCGCGGAAGGGAGGAGACATTTAATCTCATTTGTCTGTCAATCTGTCCTCCTGTCTATCACAAATCTTCAACCTTGGTCATAACTTTTGAAAGAAAAGATAGGACTTTCATATTTCACATGTACATTACCTGTGATAAGACCTTTCCAAATATATAATGATTTTTGACCCCGTGACCTTGACCTTAAAGTTTGACATACTCTTAAAAAAATTATCTTTGCTTATAACACGTGATTAAGAAGAGATAGGGCTTTCGTATTTCACATGTACTTTACCTGTGACAAGACCTTTCCAAATATACCTTGATTTTTAACCCCTTGACCTTCTTCTTGAAGTTTGACCTACTTTTCAAAAATATTAACATTACTTTAAATTGGCCATTGCTCTTGAATGAGAAAATATAGAGCTTTCATATTCACATGTATATTAAATGTGACATGACCTTTTGAAATATACTTTGATTTTTTACCCCGTGACCTTGACCTTAAAGTTTGACCTACTCTTCAAAAATTTTATCTTTGCTTGTAATTTTGATTAAGGAGAGGTAAGGCTTTCATATTTGACAAGTTCATTTCCTGTGACCTTTCCAAATGCATTGTTTACTTTGATTTTTACCCCCT